GGCTCGCCCCCGCAACCTTGGCATCCTGCTACTGCTGACAGTCTGCTGAGAAAATAAAGCAAAATAAGAGCCGAACATGAAAACTGTTGCCCACGAGTCTGGCGAGTACGCGGTAGAGCATCCAGCCAGACAGCCTTTTGTTCCATCTTGTTAAGGCCTGAACTTTCGGGCCAGCGCGGAGCTGGCTTATTGTTTCTGGGCTGGGGTCTCTGGCCGGAGTTCCAGGAACTTTTCAGGTGGCACAGCATGTTCGGGCCAGACACACTTTTGGTGGCCTCGTGCAGCAACCATTGTGGGGGCCTTCAATTAAAATATATTTAAGAACAATTTGGTTAGAAAAGGGAGCAGGGGAGCGTTTAAGAAGTTTGCTTGGCTCTCCACTTCTCAGGTATTTAAAATAATCTGTGTTTAAATAAGCCTTAGCATAGTTCACGGTACAGAATTCCATTATAATAAGCGAAACCTAAATCTCAGAAATCCCATGAGATTGTAATTCACAAATTAATAAATTATCTCGAATATATAAGTTAAGTTTTTCTGCGTAAACTTATGGCCAACACCCCGCCTAGTTTTTGTTAATGTGATTTGCTCATTCTTTTCCCCATTTTTTTGTTTTAATTTTTTCATTAAATGTTTTTTTGCATTTGCTGACGGCTTTTCATCAAAGGAGTCGGAGTCACGATGATGGCAACTGTGGCGCATACAAATGAATGGATCTGGCTCGATGAGGTCTGCGAAAATATAAAAAACAGCTACAGCAAATTTAAATGTTGTTTGGGCATGTTTTATATGTCATTATATAATCAGCACAAGTCGCACAAATCGCTGGAAATTAAGCAGAAAGAACTAAGCACCGTCTGGCTTTGAGGCATCAGCAAGAATATCACTTTTATATTACACACCAAATACAGTGGAGACCATAAAGCTAAGGAGGGGTAACATTTAGTAATTACAAAACCAAAGATAATAATAAGTGATTAGTTATCCGATTAATTTTGCAGTCAATACCTTTTGAAACATAATGATTAATTACCATGTGGGCAAAATCGATTCGATTCATTATCGCTGACAATTTACGATCAGATAAAGTCACCTGCAATTAAAACCAGTTATAAAATGTGTTGATTTAATGACAAAACACCAGACAAATTTGTTTTTCAAATTTAGTTTATTTGTTTTAAAGCTATGAACCTCACTGTCTACTTGTCTTTACGATTTGATACGACATCTAGCAGAGGGCATATGCGTAATTTTCGTAAATGTTTTCGGCTTGTTTATGTTTGTTTATAGTTTTGGTATGAAAATTTACGAGCACGTCGTTAGCCGCATTTTTTTTTTGTTCGGAGATTCGCCTCGAGTTATGGCCGAATGTTTGGCTTGTGGCAAATGGCCGCGAAGAGAGATGCTTATCGCTGGCACTGTTAATACCCCGCATTTAAAAGCGTAATTAACGCAATTTGAAATATGAGGCGAGCGACAAAAACGAAAGACTCAGGCGACGAACGCGCAGTGTGTGTGTGGGGCAGGAAGATTGCAGCGGATTCGGATGTCGAAAGGAAGCAGGAAGCTACATGCGGCATGGGGCATGAGGCATGAGAGTATTTCATACTGACTCACCCGTAGGCTCGTGCTCGACACGTATTCCTCGTGAAAGACAGGGGCTCCTCCCGCCGAACGCCATCCTCCGGTAGCAATGCCTTGATTCTGCACACAGAATTCCTAATTAGCCGAGGGCCCCGGCAGTCGCCTCCCAATATTTATGCGTTCATAGGGCTATCCGCATCTATCAATCGGTAACCTGCAACGTCTGCATTTGGGTGGCCAACTACGGATAGTAGCCTGCCTCAATAAATTACATTCGAACAAGTGTTTGGAATATTTGATGCTCCCGATCCCCGCCAATCTCGCTTATTCGTTATTTATGAGACTCACTTCGGCTTCTATAATGTTTTTATAATTTGTCTTTATTGGTTTTTCATCTTTGTTTCGTTTTCTCGCTGTTGTTTGTATGCCTTGCTCGTTTTTAGTTTTTAGTTTTCGATTTTGGTTATTGTAGTTTATAATTTGCATTGCTGTTTCATATAAATTATCATAATTAACTAGGTGAATGTTAATGAGTATAGGAAAAGCGTGACAAGGCTTAAGGATCTCTATTGTATTGGGCTTCTTTTTCTTTTTTGTTTTCTTTTTTGGTATTTTGGCTGCAGCTAGAAAAACTCAACAATTTTGTTTTTGTGTATTTTACAATCAATCATGGAATTTCTTTAACTATGGCTTGCGCTTGCTTAATTGATTTTACATTCATATAGTTTAAATATATATTTATAGTTTAAAACGTCTTCATAGTTTATTCTTTTCCGTTGCTTTCGGTTTTTCAGTTTTCGCTAAGCAAAAATTCCAGTTAAAAATAAATATTCTGCGTAAAGGCATATAAGCGAATGGTAAATTATATATTGTATACAAAAACTATAAAAATAATATTACACAATCTCACCAATAAACACTAAACGTAAGTCTAACTAAACGTGGCGACAGGCAACGAAGTTCGTAGAGGCGATATACATATATATATAGAGGGGATAAACGGTCGATCAAACCAGAATGAAATACTAAATACACACGATCGTGTCGTGTACGTCGGTTGTGTGTTCTTGGTTGTGTGTGTGTGTCGGCATATAGATTAACTAACAAAACTTACAACGTACACAGAATTCATTTAAGCATCTTCCCTTTGTGAACCTACAAATTCGAGACAGTCGAGCACCCGAACCCTGCACTGCGAAATCACAAACAACATACATGCAGACATACAACGTACAAACAGATTTTCAAGGCATAGTCATTACTCGCTGTGTTTTAGTTTTGTTTTTCAATCTTGTACCCCAATTAGTTGGCTTACTGCTGGATTTGCTCATTGCTCATCACTCTGCAAATTATTATTAGTGTGTATTGTATATATAGTTGTTCTGTGTGAGATATAGTGCCTAGGTGTGTGAGTGTAGAGGGTAGGGCGTTGTGTGTGTGGGTGTGGGTGTTCGTTATCTAACGACTTTGGCTTTTCGAATGCTGAATTAACCACTGCAGCGTGATGTCAATGTTGTCCTTCTCCTTGCAGGAAATACTATAACAGCAGATTTCACGGTCCTGTATGCTCGATAGATTCCTGGAATTGAGTTTAAGTCGTTAGTCATACATATTTTGGGGTAATTTATATCATTTGAATACTCACATGCGTTCGATGAGCCCGGTTTCATCGAGGGCGCCTGGAAGATCACGTTTGTTGCCCAAAACGAGCACAGGAATGCCAGCGAGCTGCGGTTTGTCCAAAAGGGAGTGCAGCTCGTTCCTCGAGGCCTCCAATTTGTCCAGATCGGCTGCGTCCACCATGTAGCTGCAGATTAATAACAGTGTCAAATGATTTTTAATGTTGCTTAACTTGTATTTCTACTTACACAATCGCATTAACGCCGCGACAGTAGCGCTCCCACATGGACCGGAATCGAGGCTGGCCACCGATATCCCACACCTTGATTGTCACATTGCCGCGAGTGATCTTGCGCATGTTGAAGCCAACTGTGGGTATCATGTCCTCAGCAAATTGGCCGGACTGAAATTTCAGGATAAATAAGGATACAGTATAAGTATTTTATATTATAAGTAAGGCCCAAAAGTATGCAGTACATAAATTAACGATTTATGTCAAAACATAATTTTTACATGAAGAACTAAAAAACCACAAAATGAGAATGCATTTTATCAGATTAATATTGAAAATTAATAAAGCAAAAATAATTTTTAAAAAATAAATTATATAAGTTGAACTGTAATCAAATATTTATAGTTGAAATATTTAAAAATCTAAACCGCTGCGTACAATGCATGAATCTGAACAAACAGTGGATTACGCGGAGTCTAATTACAGTGATAAGTCAAGGAAAATTCCCGCTTCTGGGAGCACTTAAGTAAACAGAAATCTACCCGCGGTTTCAGGGGATGCGGGTAGACATTTGAATCGAATTCACATGACTCATAACAAAGGCAGCAACTCCACCTCCGAAGCCCCCGGGAAGTCGAGCTACTTGACTACGAATTCCGAGCTGGAAACTCCAGATCGCGTCTTTATCAGCGTGCAGAAATGTGGGGCAGAGAATAAGGAGGCGGAACGGTGGACTGGAGGGGCGGGGTCAGGGGTCGTCTGCTGATAATGGCGTCATTGTGCGGAAAACATGCGTATTATGGTTATATAGGTTTATTGATTACGGACGGCAGGAACGGTAAACTTTACCACTAAAATAAAACGGTTAGCACAGCGTTAATTATTGATGCAGTGAACGAAAAGACGAGTGCGGAAAGTTAGCAAAACAAAGGGAAAGTGGGGTCAAAAGGGAGGCAATTCCTTTGTGTTTCGGGTTTGCATTATTCTTCGACCGACTTTTAGTCATAGTTGATCCCCCGGCATTCTCTCCACCCCCCGAAAAAACCACCCTCTCACCCACACACTCACAGAAACCCGCACACACCCACTGTGCAAAATACTCACTGCAATAACATTGACGAACGTCGTCTTCCCGGAGAACTGCAGTCCCACGAGTGTCAGCTCCATCTCCTCTTTCCAGAAGATACTCTTGAACCACTCGAGGATCCTGTTGATAAGGGCCAACATCCTGGGGCAGGTGTGTTTCTGGTCGGGATCTGGTTGGATTCGCGAAAAAAGGTTTCCAAAGAGCGTAAATGGCGTTGGCGTGAAAAAACAACTGGGCAGTCAGTGTGACCAAAAGTGCGGGAGTGCCGAAATATCAGGACTGCCCGTCAGAACGAGGTTGTGCAGCACTGGAATTGTGCAGCTGTTCGCAGTGAATGGCTTACCAATTAACTGTCCAATAAATTATAATTATAAAAATATTGTTAAAATTAAAACAGATAACGTTCAGTCTAAAGAAAATAAATGTAATGCCATTTTATGCTTAAATAATTAGCTTTCACAAGGGATCTTTGTACTTGCTTCTCACTGTAGTGGTTATCGATAGGAGTCTTATCGAATTAAAATTTGTTGCGTAGCGAATGTCAGTTTCGGCAAAAGAAGATAGTAAACAAAATGGTAAGTTGGCGAAATATTTATTAAATTCCAATAATATGTATAATAAATGTGTATTTTTAGGCGCGTAATGCAGAGAAAGCTATGTAAGTAACCCATTACTGAAAACATAATGAAACAAGCAGCACTTACGCCTTTGATTTTTACAGGACAACTTTGGCACGTTGGCGAGCCGCCAAAGAAGTGGAGTCCGGGGAAAAGGAACGCCGGCCTTACTTGGCCTCAGAATGTCACGACTTACCTCGATGCGAAAAGTTCCGCTTGGAAATTATACGGGAAATATCGAAAAAGGTGGCCCAGATTCAAAATGGTACTTATACATATATCAAATGTTTATTCTCAAAGTTGTACTCACCTTCTTTTTATAGCTGGCTTGGGTGAATTCCGAATCCGCGATCTCAACGATGAAATTAACAAGTTGCTGCGTGAAAAGCGCCACTGGGAAAATCAGATATCTTCGCTAGGAGGTCCCCACTACAGACGTTATGGCCCTAAGATGTTTGATGCGGAGGGTCGTGAAGTGCCTGGCAATCGAGGTTATAAATACTTTGGGGCAGCAAAAGATTTACCAGGCGTTCGAGAGCTATTTGAACAGGATCCTCCTCCGCCACCCAGGAAGTCCCGCGCCGAACTCATGAAGGACATAGACGCAGAGTACTATGGCTACCGTGATGACGAAGATGGAGTTCTGATTCCGTTGGAGGAACGCATCGAACGGGCTGCCATCCAAAAGGCTGTGCAAGAATGGCGCGAAAAAATGGCCAGAGATGGTCGCATAATCGATGACGACGAGGAAGAGGACGAAATATATCCTCTATCGGGACCCGCACGAGAGGCCATTGAGGACGCCAAGGCTCGAGCTGCTGTGGAGGATCCGCATGGCCTGCTGGCGCCCAAGTTCACTGCCCATGTGCCCGTGCCCACGCAACAGGATGTGCAGGAAGCACTTCTGCGCAAGAGGAAACAGGAACTCCTGGAGAAATACGGCGGTGGCGCCAACTGAACTCAATAAACATTCAAAACTTTTAGATCGAATTCTTAATTTCATCTCTGTAAACTGTTTTGCTTTTTCCAATTGAATGAGACTGCTTGTTGTGAGATCTTTCTAGATTTCCAATTCTTCTAATTTCCCAATTTGGGTTTATTTTCGTTTGGAATCTCTCTTTGGGTAGAATCGTTAAACGTTTTGTTAAACAAAATTTCAAGGCACTCCAATGTGCTGTGGTCTCTTAAAACTATAAAACACCTACATGGGTTTTCAATTATTAGTAAAATGAGTCGAAATCGCGACCTCCACCGCCGCGTCTGCCTCCTCCACCGCGTCCTCCACCACCAAAGCGACCACCTCCTCCTCCAAAAGCTACGCCTTCAGCAGCGCGTCTCTCTTTCATGGCATTAAAACGCCTGGCCATGTTGTGAAGTTCTTCGGGCACCTCCTGATCCGCCTCCTGCAGGATATCAATCAGCTCCTTGGCCATGCCCCAATCCTCGCGGGTAATGAAGCTAATAGAGGTGCCCTTTCTACCAGCACGACCTGTGCGACCCACACGGTGAACATACTCCTCGATATTGCGCGGAAAATCGTAGTTGATGACATGACTATAAATAGGGGAAAGGTATTAATATGAATAAGGTTTCCCACTCTTTATATGCTTACGATATGTCCTCGATGTCGAGACCACGTGATGCCACATCGGTGGCGACCAGAATGCGCACCGCACCAGATTTAATATCAGCTATAGCCTGCTCACGATCGCTTTGGTCGCGATTGCCATGAATGCACTGGGTCATAAAACCGTCTAGGGTGAGATCACTGGACAAATCATCGGCGCGTGCCTTGCGTCCACAGAAAATAATGATCTTGTCCGTCTCGCTCATGTTTTTGACGAAGGACTTGATTCTCTTAAACTTCTCCTTGTCGTCCTCCAGCAGCTCAATAACTTGCTTCACCGAATGTGTGGCTGCCAGATCGAGAGACCCGACACACACCTGAATGGGATTCTTCATGTAGCTCTGAGCCAAGCGACGAACTCCCGGTGGCCAGGTGGCCGAAGTCATAATGGTCTGGCGATCCGGACGGATGTCCAGCATCACCTTGCGGATCTGCGGCTCAAAGCCCATGTCCAGCATGCGATCGGCTTCATCGAGCACCAGATAAGTGATGGTGCTCACATCAATGACGTTGGCTTGAACCAAATCGTTGAGACGACCCGGAGTGCAGATGATGATCTCTGCACCTCGCTCCAAGTCCGAGATTTGCATGCGACGATCGCCACCGCCATATACACAAACTCTGCAAATAAAATCAGATATATTTTTGACCCTTTAGGTTCTATAACGTTAAATAAAGCTTACGCTTTCATGTCGCGGAAGGAGTACTTGTTCACCTCCATTTCTATTTGCAGGGCCAACTCTCGAGTGGGCGCCAGTACCAGAACGTTGGCTCCACCCCTCTGACCTCTGGGCACGCTCTGGTACTCCGTGTGTATCATTCCGGGCAGCAAGAAGGCCAGGGTTTTCCCTGTGCCCGTTTGGGCGATGCCGATCATGTCGTGTCCTTTGAGGAGAATGGGCCAAGCCTGCGATTGAATGGGCGAGGGCTTCGGAAAGCCCTGTTTGGAGATTTCGCCCAGCAGATCTGGGTATTCGGCAAAGCACTGCTCGAAAGTCCAGATTGGATTGGGAATGGGAACCGGCGTTTCACCCTCTTTTGGCTCAAAAACGTGCGAGACCGTAATGTTGTTGTTATCCGCGCGAATACGTTCGATCTCAGATTCGGAAAGATTGGCCACCTCGGGCGCCTCCTTGTAGAAGTTCTTTGTCAGTGGTGGACACTTGGCCCAGCGAGCCGCAGTAGCTGCCTCCTGTAGGGATTTGTGGGGATAAGATGGGTATTTAAAATAAATAAATAAAATTGTTTTTGAGTTACTAATCATATAAGGGGTTTCTACTGACCGATTCCTTGTGCAGAGCTGCCCAATCGATGAGTCCGGTGAGGTCTCCACTTTGTTGGTTGGGCCTATCAACAAGGGGATCGAAGTCGTAGCTGCTCCCCTTAGATCTACCATAGCCACCTCCTCCGTTTCCTCCATCTCCTCTACTTTCTTTACGGGAGCCGTAGTCCCTGCTGTCTTGATTACGATCCCTTCTATTATCGCCCGAATCACTGCCGACTTGTTTGCGAACGAAATTGATGGCGTCTGTGACGTTGCTCTGAATACTTCCGGATATTTTTACAACCAAATCACATCGGTCTACTTTTACACGGACATTGAAATCCGTCTGAATCCTCGATATATTTGCTCCGGCTCTTCCAATTATTTTTCCCACCATTTCGGAGGCGATGCTCAAGGATTCGCTAAAAGCTCCTTCTCCGCCTTGATCATCGCGATTGTCACGTCGCCCTCCGCCGTAATCATCACGATTATTACGGCTTTCCCGTCTTCCTCCGCCGTAATCATCACGATTATTCCGGCTCTCCCGCCTTCCTCCGCCGTATTCGTCGCGATTACTACGATAATCATCTCGCTTTCTTTCACCTCCGTACCCACGTGAATAATCGTCGCGTCGGATGCTCCGATCGTACTTCTCGTTCATCTTGGAGTACTCCTGAAGCTTCACAGGGGCATCTACATAGTTTGGATCGTCCCAATCGAGTTCAGACATTTCGCTATTTGCTCTGCGCTTTATTTTGTCGAATTATATGAAATAAGTTTTGGTGCACGTGAAAAATGCTGATTTTGCAATTTTGCCTCTTTCAAACGGTAAATTATTCGCGTGTGTGTGTCTAGTTTGCGATTTGATTTTAACAAGGAAGCTAAAAGGAACCTCAAATAAACTAATTCCTATAGCGTCAAATAATAATTCACTTGTTTTACATACCCCCTTGCTTTTTTACTCCATTTTACCACCAAAAGGAAATGTTTAAGGAACCGCTTTGTGAGTCTTTCGTGCAGGGCTGAATTTTGACCAGGGATGGATGCTGCCTCGACTGTTTTTGCCATTGAATCTTAAAATCGATTAGACAAGCTGGGAATATATAAGCAGTGTAAAGCAAACTTTATTGACCATTATCTTTCCAATCAATTCGAAAACCCGTATATATCTCACAAAGAATATTTATATAAAATCCAAATTTTTACCACCACAAAATAATTTTAAGGAACCCCCCTAATATTTAATACCAAACCATAAAATAGGTTTATTAAAAAAAAATTTTAAGCCTCTGTGAGGGTTGCAATTCCTTTCATGAAATAAAAATAACAATTAAAGAGACTCCTTACAAAATTCGATAACTTAAACTTAACTATATAAGTTTCGGGGATTCCCCTACAACTATATAAAAAAATCGATATACTTGAACCAATAGCTATCGATATTTCCAAGCTTCTCTGACAGGGCTGTCACTTCAAGTTACCATCAGTGTTGTTAGATCTCCAAAATTTACAGCACTTGCTTAGCACTTTGGCGGTCCTGTTTGAAACACGAAAGAAAACAGCAGTTGGTTTGGTTACTATTATAATTTCCGTTTACTTAACACACGGGTTACACATTTCAGGTGTAGCTTAGCCTATAAAATTTACGGCCTAATATAAATGAATTAAATCGCATTCATCATCCTCTCACGCGCTCGCTTCATATAAATAACTAAAACTAGAAAACACAAACTTCTCTCACTTTCAAAAAGTAACTTAATTACATGCATTTTTAGAGTGTGGGTGTGGCTATGTCGGATTTTGATAAAACTTAGAACAGTTTTGATAAGATCTTTGCTGTGTATATGGCGGGGTTTCTCAAATTTTTGGGAATCCGGTAAGGTAGTTTTTTGTGTGGCAAGTCAGCAGAAAGAGTTGCAGTGCATTTTGGATTTTCATTGTTCTATGTGAAGTTTAATATAGTTTATGTGTATATAGGTATAGTTAAGATTCGCTTAAAATTAAATTTAAACTAAATTAAAATATACGAGGTTTTTCTTCTCTCAATCAATTTCTCCAGTTTCTTGTTTTGGATTATTGTAGGTGTTTTGTTTTTGTGTTGGTTCGGGGAAACGAAGAAATACATTACAAAAGCCCTTAAAATGTATTGCAAATAGTTTAAGCTGCAGTTGGTATTCCATTTCCTTGTGTGTGTTGTTTTAGGTACGCTTGTATGTACAGTGTTAAACGTTTTTATTTACACGTTGCAAAGGTGGCCTTTGATATACCATTTAGCATTTAGCATTTAGCATCACCTTGTTTCATAGGAAGTATCAGCCCTCTTGCCGTTTTTGATTTGATAAAATCCATACTTTGTTCAGATGCGTAAAAAATTGTTTAGTTTCAGTAGTCCTGGAGTGATAAAGTACTATAAAAACTTGGTCATTTTCTACAGATTTTTGAAGAAAAATACAGTTTTATCAATTCTAATTTTGATCATAAAGAGTGCGGCAATTGGCTGTACATTTTCTTTCGTTTCACAGCTGCTGTTTGGCGGCGGCTCTTCGCGGGGATCCTGTCTCAGTCCCTCGTCGAGTTCCTGGCCAAAAGGTTGTTCCTGGCCTCCGACACATCCTCGCAGACGGGCGTGGATGGTACCGAGACCCAGGGCGTGGACCCCAGGATGGGTGACGCGGGCGCATAGCTGGAGTCCAGATCCAGCCGCAGTTTGGCTGGCGAATTCCGCTTGAACAGAGCCAACTGCCTTGTGGGCGACAGCAGATTTGGCTTGCTGATTGCGCAGGATGAAACGGATGAGCTGGAGGACTGCAGCAGGGAGCAGATGCCGCTGCTGCTGGTCGAGCTGGGCGAATCGAGCTCCGAGACCGTCGAGGCTGCCGCCGAAGTACTGGGCGCCTCGTCGTCCGGAGTTATTGGGGGCGAAGTCAAACGGGAAGAGCAATTGCTGCCGGCCAAACTGCCGGCACCACTGTCCACATCATCGTAGTCGTACACGTCCTCGTCCATGGCCTCGCTGTCCGACTTGGACTTCTTCTCCTCGACCTCCTCCTCCTCTGGCTGCTCCACCAGTTGACTAGTTGAGTGGGCGTTCAAGCCCACCGAAGATCCCGAAGGATTGCAGGGACTGTTCAGGTGTGGGGTTGCTGGCGCCAGGACTCCGCTCTTGCGCAGATTCTGCTCCAGCTCCAGCAGCTGGCCCATGAAGTTCAGGTTGGGCGAGATGATCGGCCGGGCCACTTTCACCAGTTTGTAGGCCTCCAGCAGGGAGAGCGACTTGTAGCGCATGACGTAGGCGATGGCGATGGTGGCACTTCGCGAAATCCCCGCGTGGCAGTGCAACAGCACCCGGGAACCCGTTTTCCTCGCATCCTCTGCAAAATGTCAAGAAAGGGAATCGTTTTAATCCACTGATAAGGCGGTAAAAGGTTTTCCATGAACAAATTAAGTGAGATAGAAATGTGTTTTCAATGATTATGGTCTATCTTATCTATCGACTTATCTGACAGATGAAGGGCAACAGATAATATGCAGTTTTTTTTTCAAATTAATAAAATATGATTTATAATGTTTAAACTTAGTTAAAGAGTTCGTAAACATATTAAAGCGTCTTTCAACTCTTCCATAAATTAGATTTTAAGTTTTTAGTTACTGCTTTAGCTATTTATATCTTTTCTTCTGCATCTCTGACGAGGGAGAAACTTTTCGAATTTTGACTGTCGAACGTGGAAGCTTCGATGATGATGTCGTTGTGTTGATATTGCGCTGTCGATACGCTCAGTGTATTGGTGGACTTCACTCTTACTCTCTCTCTCTCTCGTTCCGTTTGCTCACCCACTCTCGCGCTCGGCAACTGAACTGTGAGAATGTTGCTGATATGAGTCATCATTATTGCCAGAGGCAACAACAATAATATAGCGACGAGGCTTATTGACAGAACATTTTTATACCCTCACACGCGCGCACACACACAACCGCCTTTTCACACACACACACACGTAGGCACATTAACTCATAATTTACGTTGTTATTTTTGGCCAAAGATAAGCAGTCGGGAGGGGAAGAGGAAGAGAAACCAGAAGAATCCGCAGCATACGGCGTACTTGTATCAAGGCTCACTTACTAAAATACAGTGGGAACCCACTTAAGTGAAAGTATTTTGAAAGTTAAATTCTATCTTATGCCCACAGCTCTCTAAGCTTTACTAGTACATTTGTACATTTTTGTTTTTTGCTTTATATATAGAAAATTGGTTATTTTATTGAAAATACTTCATCTGCATTTCAATCGTTTGTTTAGGTTACTGCAAAAAATTACACAATTTGTTTTTTTATAAACCATTTCGTCAATAAATATAGACGTCCGACTGTATAATAAATCCACCACCGAAAAAAATAAGCTTTATCTTATCGCTCGGCAATTGGTCGTGGTGTGATTTTGCTTCGGTGGAGCGCGTAGGGAATTCCGAGAGGGGTTTTTTAAGGGGACTGGGGGAGCCTTTGCTAATCGTTGCTTACTCATAATGCACACAAGGCAACACTTGTCTGATTTCCAAACAGTTGATAACCAGCCAGTCGGGCGGAATCGAAGCCTTGTTAGTCACCAGGCGCCTACCGCCCCAACGCACCCTCTTTTCTCTCGGTGCACACCGCACACCCCATTATAAGTCCCTTGTCATACAGCGAAGGAGGTGATATCAGCGATAAATCTGGAAGGCGCGTGTAACTCATTGGAAATTGCAGGCATATTGCCAGTACTCACTATATAATACTGCCCGAGACCCACCCCCTTTCCCCCTTTTGCCCACCTGAAGAGGTGCGATAACGGGCTGTTTGATTTATCAATGAATAGAGAGGGGTGCAAAGCACACAGCGATAAGGAAACCTTCCCTAACCGCACAACTTCGATTTCACAAATTTCGTCTAGAATTATGAATTGCAGTTTACACACCACCAGTCAAGTGAAATCAAATCGAGTTAAGAGTGTTATCGGCCCAATAGTGGTGATATGGCCAACTACAACCCGGACCCGGGGAAAATCCATCATAAATAAATAATCAACTACCACTCGAAGATAATAGGGTTCCCGTGTACTGAAGTACGAAAAGTACGTCAGAGTTCCGGATTGGGTTCTTGCCTCAGAGACTTTACTGGGATTCACTAAACTTTGCCAGCAAGGGGTTTTTAAACCAATAAATTGTGGTATGAACAGAGACAATCTTTTGCTTTCTTCTTTTCTATAAATAGTTGTTTAATTTCCACAAAGCCTTGGACTCTTCAATTTTCTCGTAGTGCACAAAAGGCGAATCAAAATCGGCAAATAAAGAGATGACCAATCTATAGGCTGGCCAAAAATAGACCCACCGATCGGGGGGCGGCCAAAAGACAGACGGCTAGATAAAGAAAGATGGTCATTAAGCGTACAATGGCAGACAATTGGTCACCGTCCCCGTTTCGTTCATTTCGCACGGCGCTCATAAATCCTCTTAGTTAATGACCCCGTCGCTCAGGCAGTTAAAATCGCGCATAAAACGCGCCGTAAACGCGCCTGTCTCGCACACACAACACCATGTGAGTCATGTGGGCTAGAAGAGAACAAGAAGTAATAATGCAGAATGGAAGTGGCCAAGGAGTTTCGCAAAAGACTGGCAAGAAGTAGCTGTAAATGATGAATGAATTTCGCAAAACTTCAGTTTGAGTCACTATCAAGTTGTTCTAGCTAATTGGCCTCAAGTTCAATTTGTACACTGAGGTTTAAAGGAGTTACTAAGTCGGTGTTTAAAGTCAGCAAATATTGAAAATGCGTAAGCATTAGAAGTGATTCCACACCTTTCTATAGGATTGTTAATCATAGGTATTAACAAGAAATCCAGCTTTAGTGTTTGTTTGGCTCTCAGTTATTTTTGCATATTTCTTGGCTTACTTTGTTCGCAGTAAACGGATTTTAGGCAGAGGCCTTCCTCGATTATTGGGAAGCAAGGCTTAGGTAATTGTTTATTGTTCGTGACAAATATGCGTCCATATATGCTGCGGGGAATTACTAATCGCCAATAGAGTGCCGCACTTATGACTAAACGGACTTAGTTCACCGGAACACATTTTCCGGCGATGACTGTGGATGACTCGGTAGATCCCGGGGAGTCGTGTCTATAATGGGGCAGTACACGTTGCCACCATTCCAAAGGGCTGAGAGTCGTGACTCCATTTAGGGGGCGATGATGCGTAATGCCAACTTTGGGTAGTCACCGAATTCTTCCACCGTTGAGTGTATGATTAAGTGCAACAGTAGCGATGTTTTCTTTTTTTATAGTCGGGCCCCCGGGTGCGTCATCTGGTGATTTGGGCTCAGAAGTGGGCCAAGTGGCAGACAGCTGGGTTGCCTTACAATGGGATGGGACAAGATGGCATGGTGCTATATGGTATCTCTCTGTCTCGCCAGACAATGACGGCTGCCTGTCGCGTCTCGTTTTTGGTTCTTGTTCTCAATGTCCGCTCGCTTCATTTCACTTTTTCTCGTGATGATTAACTCCCGGATCTTGGACCTTAGGGTCAACCAAAAGTGTCCCAGGCGCGAAACGCTCGCAACTCCCTCTGAGTCATGGCCCGAAACAGAAACAGAAACGGCAACAGAATCAGAATCGAAAACAGAAACTTAAACAACCTCTGAGCACGGGAAACATGATATATGATTGAGGGGTTGTATGTTGTACAGCAGCGATCAGGAGAATAGCAAACGAATAAGGATTTCATGCACTATTTTTTAGAATAAATAGTTATCACTTAAATTTAACTAATAATCCTAGAAGTAAGAAGAATATATTTATGTCTTCGAAAGTGTTTTATGTTCTTAATTCCTTGACTGGAACTTTTTTAACTTTTTTAAGACGGCCACTATTTTTATGCTTCCCACTGTTTTTTTTCTACCGGAGCATGTTGTCAAGCAACAAGTAGTTTTGTTTATATTCGAAATATTTAATTACTTTCGGCGACTGTTTATCATTAAGAATACCAGCTGCTTACTCATTCGTATTTCTGATTAAGCCAGAAAGAGACGGCTGTAGTGCGAGCGAAAGAGACAGATGGCGTGTGAGTCTGAGTGCGGCAGGTGCCAGGACACTTAAATGGCGATAAGACGCCGCTGAATCATCCAAAACAAAGAGAGTGGAGTGGAGGGGGCTCAACTTGACCTTCAACTTGGCGAATCTCGACTTTGACGTGTCGTCGAGTCATACGGAAACAACAAAAGCTCCCAACACAGCCTGCACTTTGGAGCAGCCTTCAACTCAAAGTGAGGGAGGCGGATGGATCAGGGCTCTCCTCGAGTGATTCATAAAGAGCATGCGCAGCGGCAAAGACAACAAACGAAATGTTTTATAAACAAATTGCGCGCAAATACAATCCGAGGAAAATACAAAGTGCGCGGGCGCAACGCAAAAGTCTCAAAAGGCAGGCATCAATGAATAAGTACACAGAAAATTGATTCTCATATCAAGTTTGTAACTTGAAATACTGATCGTATCTATCAAATTATCGTTCACAAGATATAACATTTTAACAAAAAAAAAAATAATTGAGCTATGACACACATGTTACCCAAAAAATTATTAAAATCATCATATCGTATTTTTTACTGTGTAAAGAGGAAACGGGAAAGTGTAGGCGTGTGTTCCCTGTAAAATGATTAAGAGCCTTATAATTTCTCATGCGCCCAGCACAACAACAAAAAGAAACCGAAGTCGCAACGCAAATTTCAAATTCGAAATTCCTGTGCGAAGATTTTCAGTTTATTTTGCTTGGTTGGTTTTTGCATTTTATAAATAGCCGGCTGACGAATATTGAAATTATGTGCACGGGGGCCAACAAAAATGTCACCTCGAGATTTTTGTTGTTTCTGTTGTTTCTTTTTGTTTGTTGTCTGCCAACGGATTTTCGATTACTCATTAGCCACAGGATTTTTCGAGTAGTCTCTTTTGAACGAATGCTCTATATGAAGCTGTCTGTTGCAGCTGCGGCCAAAATAGAAGATTTTCGGGTGCAATATCTTTAAAACAAAATACACATATTCTGAAGGATTTGTTTTTAAATTTCAAAAACAGAGTAACCTTCTAATATTTTAACCGCAACGTATGGTTTGGTATGTGTTTGTACTCATGCATTCATAGTTTTATCTAATCAGCTGTCCAACCGTATGTATTTAGAATGTGGAGCTATCACCAAATGTTCTTGAGGGGCCTCCGTTTCCAGTTTACTTAGCTGCTTCTACGACTGTGTGTGCACAACCCGTAGTCGTACCCGTAAATGTCCCCGTGAACGTAACCCGTAGCCGTATATATATGCTCCCCGTAGATAAAGTTAGCCAAAGAGATTCCTTCGTCGCTGACAGATAACAGTTGATAGCTTGATAACTGATAACTGGCGCACAAATAATATAAGGGTACAGTCAGTACAGACATCGTGGCGATAGCTTGACAAATTGATTAGGGGGTGGAATGAGCGAGAAAGTGCTGAGTTTTATAAGAAATACAAGGAAACACCTATGTACATTTGTATGAACGCAATATCGAATTTATACTATGAACTCAAGCATGGCTATTTTTCGTTTATTTACCGTAGTGACTTGTGTTCTTGGCCTTATTTAAACGAATATTTGTTTATGACTATGACCTTGTTGAACTAGGTACTTCTTTCTGTTTTGAACACCAACATTGAAACTGGCAGGAACCTTTAGGATTTATTTGAAGATACTTATCCAAGAAATACATTCATAGCTTGAAAGACGCATCTTACTGATGAATCTGAGAACATTTTTTAGGTGCCCAAATCGCAATTACAAGTGTAATAAACCGAATACTACGATACCGTTCAATTTCCTGACAATTGAGGATTTGATTGCTTTCTAGGCCAAGTGGCTTTGCGTTAGTTTATCATTCATGTTAATGACGCAGCATAATGACATTAGCATTATCCGTCAACAAGAACAACAACAACTACTGGGGCCTCGAACTCTGCCGCCGCCTAATGAGCCTCTGCCGCTGCCTCTGCCTACGTCGGTCTCATTTCAAGCTTTGCTTCAAATAGCGGTGCTTCCTCCCCCTCCTCCACCCCCCCCCTTACTCAAACTGCTGTTATAATGAATGGAAAACGAAAAGCAACGCAACAATGAGAAATCATAAGTTGTACGGTACAAGAGGAAGCACAAGCAGCACAGGCGAAATAAAACAATAATAATAGGCATAAGGTGACGACGGCAAACCAAAAACGAATGCGCAAAAGGCAGGGGCAAACATTCAAAAACACAAACAGAGAAGCGAAATCATGACTCATGCACACTCAGTACAAAATACATATACTTTTCCCTTCCTCTTCTTCTTCTTCACCGCCACCTCCTTTTGCTTCTTCTTCACCGTTTCCCCACCCATCGTTACTTCGTGCCTGAGTACTAATGTGTTTTTTGCGCGGGTGTGAGTGAGCGAGAGCAAGAGAGGGAGAAAGAGGGAGGTAGACCGTTTATAAAAATAATACTTGAGCATGGATAAAACTGACGAGGTGGAGAGAAAAAGGTTACTCTGTGCACTTTAAAACCAGTCGTTAAATTTCAAATCTAAACACTGTTGTCAAATATTTAAATACTTTTTTAATACAGACCAGTTAATTTCAAGAATGCGTACAGAGATCGCCGAATTCTTTATTATATTTGAATTATTTTTATGCTTTTTACAGTCGAATAACATGTATTCAAAGTAATCACATCAAATTTTCTTTCAGTGTAGCGGTAAGAAGAATACCGAATCGAGGATTTTGATCTGACAGATGCAAATAAAATAAGAAGAGGGGGTGAGCAAGGAAGAAAGATACTGAGCAGCTGTTGCTGCTCCCGCACCTGACATCCGCAACTACAAGAACAACAACACTCGAGGCCGAACGCACAAGGATAACCCACAAAATAAAAAGCGAAACGATGACTCATAAACAGGAACCGAAATGTTTACAAAAATAGAACATATGCCGAAATGAAACCAGCGCCACAGAAGAAAAGAGAGGGGTGAAAAGTGCCGTTGGCGGCGCAATAAATAGCAACAATAAGAAGCCAACGGAAAAATCGATGCGGCTGTACCGTTCCGTCCACCCACCCACCGCCCACTCTCTTGCTGTCTCGCTCTCTGTGTTCCACATTGCATTGTGAACGAACAAAACCAACAAAACGAAATGGCGATGAGTCATCCGAGAGCACAGTGGTGGCCAAAAATACATTAACAGCCGGGCACCGCAGGAAGCGAGTCGAGGACAACCCTTATCAGAAAGGACGTTTGCGGTTGGTTAGCCTCGTTGTTGTTGTTCTGGCTGCTTTTGCTGGTACGTAGGCAATCTGCATAAAATATCCATTACCCGAGAAAACTTGTGTGCACCGACAAAAAAAAAATTTTACTTACGTCTATTAAAATGAAAACCCATGATTCCCCACAAGAGATGTGTCTTAAATAAATTTGCCAGTCTAATAAAATTTAAAGTGTAAAAATTTCAAATGTATTGCTAATTTTAAGCTTTTCTTTTTAATTTTAAATTTTTTGGGTAAAAAGTGTTCTATGATCTGTACAAATCCTTTCAGTGTGGCCAAAGTCGCCACACAGTAACGGAACAAAGCAGCAGCAACAACAACGAGACGACGACGTCGCTGCCGCCAAGCTGTCTGCCAACGCCAACACGCAACAGCAACAACAATGCTGCGACGAAAGAAGGCGAAGGAGGCAGAAGGAAAGAAGGAGGCAAGGCAGACAGTAAATGGATAAGCGTAGGAGCAACAAAAACAACAACTTGAAGAGGGGGAAGGAGCATTGCTCCTTATCCACACCCAATATGTGCCTATAAGTGCGAGGGAGTAGTAGAGATTCCACAGAGTGGGGAACTGTGATTTGAACTTAGCTTGGCAATCTCGTAATATTACTGCGCTTTTTAAATCCGTAGAAACCAATTATAGTGAAGCTTTTATCCAATTTCCAATTTTTAACTGTTATTGACAACTATTTTTTTCTGGTTATATAAAAGCTTATGATTTGAAAATTATATCAAAGCCACTTTTGGGTAGAACAGTAATTATCACTCTTTAAGAACACCAAGTTTGGAGGTCGACGGTCGTCTGTTGCTCGTACCGCCCACTCGGCGTTTTTTTCGCGCTTGTTTAAATGAAATATTTGCACTACTTAAATCACAGACGCTACAAAAACATTAATAAAACGACAAAGCTCGTGCACACGTGCCAAGACATTAGCTTGAAAACAAAAAAAAATTCTAAAAAAAAATACAAAACAAAAATACTTGATGAACAGCTTTGGACATAGAAAATGGAAATGGAAAAATGCGATTGACGTCAGCATTATATTCCACGGCTAAAGCTCTCTCCGGGCGCCTCGTTCCCCCTTTTTCGTTTGGGTACATATTATTATTTTCATTTAAAATTAACAAAAGTATAGTGTGCTTGGTTGTGTGGGAAAAGCGCTGAAGGCAGCGCAAAATGCCAAGAGCACATGAAACCCCAAAAAAGGGGCAAACAAAAAAGTCAATAACGAATTTTCCAGCCAGCCAAGAAGAAAGGGAAGTGGAAGCCAGACTAAAACCGTTATGCAAAATCCACAAATGAGCCCGCTGACCGCTGAAAAAGCCCGCCAGGCATCCAATAACAAGTCACGTTTAGCAATTGCCAATCGCAAATAGCCAAAGATGATGACTAAGCGTAACTCGGTTTCTCAGACTGGATTCGGGGAGCTCTAGGTTCCACAGAATTCCAAAATATTTGAGCTAAGCTTATCTCCATAAAATGTATGAAGAATTTCACTGTAATCTAGTCGCATTTTTTCTGTTTGACGGGAGAAAATACCAGTAAAGTTCGTCATCTTCGCGGTATTACTTATCTCCGGTTTAACGATAATAATATGTTGTTTTCAATCTTTCATATCACTGTCAAGATAGTCAGATGGTGTGCAAAACAGTGTTATTGAGATCTAGGTGGGAGTATTTCACCAAAACTATACATTGGTTCCTCATGCAACACACAACACAACTTATCTCAAAGGTGGGGAATAGTTCATAAAACAAAAGGATGACATTTTTATGATCGACAACACTTAAATGATGTTTAAATGGTAAACAAAATAGTGAGGACAGGATACTGATAGCCTAATGCTATGATCTTTGACACTCTTCAAAGAAAACTCACCGATGAAGTCGAAGGCCTCCTGGAAGTACTGCTTGATGTTCTGATGGGGCGTATCGCTGGCAGGTATTTGCATGTACTTGAGGCCCTGCAGATGGCTCTCGTTGGGACTTTGGCAGGTAACATTCAGCACACAGTTGGCGCCCACGCTGCTGGGATCGTCGGCGTCGCGTCCATTGCCCAGCAGCAGATGCGGGAACACGGGCGAGGCGGGGTGTGTTTCTATATCTGCAAGATACATGCGGATCGGATCATTAGGTTTTATGAGTAAATAATGGAAAAGTTCCTGCTGCCCCAAACGCCGTACGAAAAGTGCCCATTGTCGGGGGATCTCTCTATCTATCTTGGGCGGTGGAAGCTTGCCAATTCGCGATGTCATGCAACAAAAGAGTCTGGCAAATGATCATTGGAATGGGGATGGGTTCGGGTTTGGGTAGAATGGTGATGGCCTGGCCCTGTTTTCTGTATCTATTGTTGTACACAACGTCTAAATTTTGCTACAACAAATTGTTTATTTTTTGTTTCGCCCCTTCTCCTCCGAGCGTTTTCGTTTCGATTGGATTCGTCTGCTGGGGCCTCTGTTGCTGTTGCATGACTCATGCCACACACAGAGGCATAATAGTCTCAGTTCAGTTGGGTTCAGTTTTATTGGCAGTGGGCGAAGTCGAAGGTGGTGGAGGGGCAGGCAGGGAAGGGGCAAGTGGCAAGGGGGAGGGGAGGGACGGTCAGCGGGCCGAGGGGTGGCTTCACATTGCCTCATGGCCGTCCCCGAGTTCGTAGCACTCTCAATGAGCCGCGCAATTGTTTTTTCTTCCCTCTCTATGTGTATCTATAATTGTTCACCGTCTAACTACACTCCAAAAAAACTAAACGAAGTCTTGTTAAAACCAAAGAGGTTTATCTTTAAGTCCTGCTAAAGAAAGAACTCTACAAGTTGGTTCAGCGTACCAGTGTGTAATTAAATCGCCTTGTATTAATATGATTTTTTTCTGCCTAAAGATGTTCTGTAGGAAGAACATCTAAGAAACTCCTTCTTCAAGTGTAATTTTTAGATCGTAGTGCGGCCCAGCATATGCCCTGCGGTTTTGGCCATAGACACCCCTACCCGGTTCATCGATTATTTGTCATTGGCTTGCGTGTTAATTGATAGCACTCAGAGCCATGGCAACTCAACTTCGTGGATTTCATTTATATTTATTTTTTTGGGCCGAGTGCACTTTGTGGGTCACACGGAAAACACTTGCATTAGTCATCGACAACACGTTGGAACTTTACACGTAAAGATGATTGTCATTCTGGCATTTACGCAGGCCGCGACTGATAGCACCGCGTATCCACCTCGTAGTGTATTAAGAATGCAATTAACCGATTTCATAAATATTTCCACAGTGACTCAGTTGGCTTTCAGTAAACAGGAATCGGGAGGGTATGGTAACAAACATTGAAATAAATGGAGGGTTGATAAAGCCCGGAACAGCAATCAATAGCTAATTGGTGCCCTTAAGGGTATTTCCCATTTTCTAAAAAATATTGTTCTTGGGGAGATTCCTTTGTTGTCAGGGAACTTATTATCAATAGCTTGTGACAAATAGTGAATCACTACAGACTCTTTTGCAATTTCATTTGTTTACCAACAAGTGAAACAATTAAAAGGTGTTAATTTTTTGCATTCAAAGTACATAACTTGAATTAGTTATTGCTTGAGGTTAGATTGAAATAAATTTATTTTCAAAATCTGCATCTGTAAATTGATGATGCATTACTAACCCTATAATAGATGTGCGTAATACAGAAGTAATAATTAAAGCCCAAGGAAACTACACGACGTGATCACACCTTTGTCAGGTGGAAAAAGGCGGGAAGAGGGGAAGGAGGGGAAGATAGAGTGAGGATTACTCCGAGACTAAGTATGATTCCCACCGCGCGTGAGTAAATATGAGTAATGTGCAAAAGTTTGACATTGAAAATTTCACTGTACTACTGTCTTTGTTGTCGTTACCTCTGTAGATGGCTTTGTTATTGTTGTTTTGCATGTGTTTCGCTGCTTCTCGCATATTTTTAATACATATGTATAAACGTACGTACGCTCGATTTCGTAACGTGCAAAAATACGAGTTAAAGGTGCGAGTGAGAGGGGGCGACACACAGAGCGAGCGATTTATCTCAGCACGTGCCGAAGCAAAAACAAAACTGTTTGTTTTTAATGTTAAAGCAGAGCTCACAAGTGGGGGAAGGTGAAGGGGGAAAATGACGGAAAGATTGTATGACAATCTGAGACAATTTATCGCCATGTATTACTATCAAAACGTGGAATACGGATGGGGGAAGGGGGACTTAGGCCGAGTAGGAAATGAATTGCAATGATAAGCGCAAACTATACATGCAAATATGCAACAGCAGAACAATCGAGAGCAATTGCTCGATCGGGCAAAGATATAGTGCCCCCTAATCTACGTCGGAATTGTCTGTAACTTGAATGGGCAATGTGATCAGTTTTGGTATGCAAACTTTAGTGAATCATTGTAGAACATCAGGAAATAAGAATGTATTTCCGTTTCTATTTAAAAGTACATGAAATATCATTACAAAACAACAAAGTGTGCCACATGCTAACCCCGGATTTCCCTCAACTTCTTCCAGTATGCAAAATCATTTCTAACTGAGTCACAGACCTTTTGTGAAACCCGTCTTCGGGTCGCATAGTTTTCGGTGGGTTCCCCGTTTTGAAGCTTTCACTTACCGTAGACCGCCGGACTAGAGCAGCTGCGGGTTAAGACCGGCGTCCGTCCGTTCATTGCCGTTGAAGATGACGTCGTCGATGTCACTTCGTCACATGCCAGATTCTCCCTGGACCGCTTGTTGGGATAGTCCTTCTGATTGGCTGCAGAGAGAAACAGAAACCAGAAAATACGCATTAATACGGTGATTTAAATACTGTTTATAATCGGCGGTTAGCGATTTGCTTAATTTTATAACCAATGATGTCAGCACCGATTTGTGTATGGACCGCAGTGCGAAAAACTTGTCGTGCCGAGTCCCCCGTTTAAATAAACCGCAAAATATTTCGTTTCGATTGCCGCCTGCCAAAACTGACGTAAGACATTTATTTTGGCTCTACAAAGTTTTCCACATTTGCCCACAGCTCACAAGGCGCTTATCACAGTGAACAGGCATAAATAAAACGCTTTGTAAGCGTGCCCCGTACCAATTTGATAGTATTTTATAGTAAAACACAAGCCATTAAATGCCTTAAAAACATTTATATCTGAAGCTTCCTATAGCAAGTACTTAAAACTTATTAATTGTAATACTCTAAGTTCATGTAAACTATTTAGGGTCTTATCTTCAAATAATACGCATTTTATTTGAATTTGAATTTATTAATTATCAATATTCTCAACTTCATTTTATTTATCGTACAAAGGCCCCTGGTAGATTGGTATTTCTATAAATTAATGCTTTGATTTTAAGCCAGTCCGTTTCATTGAATATTTTCAATTTGGACCTTTATCAACTAAAATGCGATAAGATAGAGAGTGCCTCAGTTTGTATTATTTTTTCAAAGGGGTCTTAGGAGGTTGGACTTGTCAGCCTTTATCAGCTGTACTCATAAGCATAGTTGTCTTTTTATGCTGGCAAGAAAATCAACTTCAAGTAAACTACTGGGGTACAAAATTGCTGTTATCAGCCAAGCGACCTCAAAAGCCAAAAAACAACACAGAAAAGCAACAGCTACAAAAAATACAACCAACTTTTCACCGTGGCAGGAAACGTTGGTTTAGTTTTTTTCGCTGCTGTTGTTTGCGGCTAGTAAAACAAGTAAAATCGCATGCCAATAGTGCATTGCAAGACCCCAGAGCCGTCTTATGTCTCGGGTGTGTGGGTTTCGAGGGGGCTTACGGTTTGAAAAATAGGTGGGAATGATTGGTAGTAGAATTAGGGAAGTGATAATAAACATACAGTGTTTTATTTACTGATGATAAAAAGTTATAACTCAGGGTTTTGAGCTCTATTTTGGTTACTTTTGGTTAAAAAAAACGTCTACTAATCATTTGATTTTTCGGAACTGCAGAACCCTTTTTCGATGCGCCTCTGCAGCCCCCTGCAGCTCTCTCTTCCTGTTCTTCTCGTCTCTCTCTCACTAGCTGGCTCCCAACTTTAATTTCAAGTTGTTGCTGCGGCTGTTGCTTTTGCTCCCTCTACTCCCCTTTCCCCCTCACCCAACTTCTTCTGCAGCACACGCTTCTCCCTACAGTTGTTGTTGTAGTTGCTGTTGTTGTGCCGATGAATTCGTACTCGAAAGGTCGTTTCAAAGCGGGTTTTTCAGCGTTGCCAGGCCGCTTGAGAAACCTGCTTTGCTTTACATTTTTTCTGGTTGTATTTTTTTTGTTATTTGTACTTGTATTTTGTTGTATTTTTTTATTTAACCAGCGGACAGAAACGAATCGAAACGCTTCTTTTGCTTTTATTTTTGAAAGACACGCGAATTGTGAGTCACGTATGGAGCAGAAAAAAAGTAACTGACTCTGAGTCTCTGATCTCTCTCGAGTTCGTTTCTTTTTTTCTTAATTTTTTTAACTCTTGCTGTTGTAGAAATGAAATGGAGACGCTTACGTGTGTTCCCCCTCTCTTTCGTGCCCCCTGCAAAAGTAAACAGCATGCCAAGCGGTAAAAATCCAGGGAGAGAGAGATTAATTCGCTCTCCCTCTCTCACTTGATTGGTTTAAGTGTAATCTTAAATAGTATGATTTTCTTATTGCTTTTTTTTGTTCGTACTCACCACCAATGCGATTGTTGTTGTTGGTATTTTGGATTGGCATAAATAACAGAAGACACGGCGCTTCTCGCTTTATCCGCATTTTCATTTCACTAATATGACTCACGCTGTTGCCGTCCCCGTCGCACTCACAGCCGCTGTCGTTGTTTTTGTTGTTGCGTGTTGACGTTGCCGTTGTATCGTTGTTGTTGTTATTGCTGCTCTGCGTTTCTCGATTCACACACATATGCAGCCGCTCGCACACTACACACACACTTGGAGCCGTTTGGTTGTTTTAAAATTGATATATTCTTTTTTTTAGTAGCCCCGTACAATCTATATCATTTGTATGATTTTTGGGTGGGAGGGCTTTATTAGATAATCCACAAGCCACTTGTTGAGCCACTTCCCGTTATAATGTATGTTGCAACCAAAATCGGGGGCCCAGAAATCGAGTTTTATTTCCACTTGTAGCGCACGCACACTTTTTTAATTAATCAACCAGAAAACGCGCGGGTTGTAGATATTTTTTTTTATTTTAACTATAGTCAGGTTGGCTAAAAATTGATAGTATCCTCTGTTTCTGTTTCACGAGCCACCTTGTTAAGTGAAAATAGTCTTGTATCCAAATGTCAATGTTATACTAGAAAATATACTTTACTATTTTCTAGTAATATTTTTATTTCAAGCGCGGGGCAAGTTGCTTGAACTGGTTGCACAAAATAGAGACTGACAACCGTTCGAAGCGAAATTCAAAAGACGAATGAACGTGCGCAAAACAAATGTGATAACCGAATTTGATAAATTGAAGTTCTGTGTTGGAAAACGTTGATCTTTTGGTGCTTTAAGAGCTGGTTGGTATTTTCTACTGTTGGATAGCGTGATAAATACTTAAAAAATACTGAACATCAGACGTACTTCAGTTTCGTGTATCCCTGGCAGCCGTTACACAACAGGAAATTCAAAAAGTTACTACAGTTTATTATAATGCGAATCACGAAATAATCACGAAAACGAAAAAAAAAATTATATTTTCTTGAACAAACCTAAAAACCTTTTAACAAAAATAGTTTTTGTGTGCTTAGGTGCTTTTGCGTTTAGGTAGCTTCAGCTTATGTTTAGGTGATGTAAAAAGCTACATTTAGCCCGGTCTCAAACCATTTCCGAAAGATGGCGTCTTGTTTCCTTTTCACATTTACTTTAGTTTTTTTCGAATATTTATTTTTATTGTAAATGTAAGTTTTAGATGTTTTTGAGGCTTATTGTTTGCTATAATTAGTCGTCGAGCTCGTGTGGAACAGGTGGCTTCCATCCTCCGAAGGCTCTCTCCAACTCCACGGCCACACGAATGCACAGTCGATCCTGATTTGGAGCCCCAATTACGGAAAGTCCAACGGGGAGTCCCCGGTCATTCAGACCCATTGGCACATGGGTCACAGGAAGACCGAGTACGTTGAATAGGAGGGTATAATCGACGCCCCAGAGTGAGAAAACCGACCACTTGTGTCTCGGAGCAGGTAAATTCAATGTGGGAAAGATCAGCACTCCATTATCTCCAAGTAGTTTCTGCACATAAAAAATACAACAGAAATTAGTTTAAAATAATGAGTAGTCAATAAACTCGCTTTACAACTTTGTTGACTGAGCGAGATCAAATACTATGTGTTACAAAGGCCGTTGTTTTAAAGTAATTGCTTTTAATATAATAATCTAGCTTTTTGGTGAGACATGTTACAAAGCGAGGGGCTGCCGTGATAGATAATTGACCACTTACCGCGAACTCCCCAATCAAGCCGCGTGCCTCCTCCAGATACTGATTCATCTTTGATTGCGACATAAAGGCGCCAGCTCGTCTCATTAGTTCAAAGATCAGGGCATTGGTCGTGTAGTTCGAGTGACCCCGCAGACTTTTTATCAACTCCCAGAAGGTCTGACGAACCTTGTTCGTACCCTCTGCATCTTGATACTCCATTAGATAGTCCATCAAGTCCTGTCCGGCGATCCCAGACAAAGCCATCTCCATTGAGTTATCAAGATTGGGTAACTTGGCTTTCTGCACCTCCAAACCAAGAGTCTTCAAATGGGTTGTCGCCCTGCAAATGGCACCTCGTATATCCTTATCCACCGACGTGTGCATCAATCCATTCAGGCCCTCGAAGCCCAGTGCATACTGTACTTTAATCTGGTTCAGTTGCACAGGTTCGTTCAATCGCAGTTTGTTTGAATTGTCTTTGCCCGCCATTATCTGAAGTAACTCGGAAAGATCCACGGCAAACCGGGTCATGGGTCCCTCCACTAGATAGTGCTCGATGTTCGGATCTTTCGAGTTGGGGAAGTGCCCCTTGACGGAGACGACTCCTCCACTTGGTTTGTGGCCAAAGAGACCGCAGTACAAGCTGGGAATGCGAATGGATCCTCCAATATCCGAGCCAATTCCGAATAGAGAGGCGCCAGCTCCGTTCAAAGCGCCCTGGAAATAGTTAATCAGTAGTAATAGAGGTACAAATATGAAGTTAATTTACCTCTCCCCCCAGAACTTCCTCCCGGAGTCCTCTCAAAATCGTAGGGATTCAAGCATCGGCCATTCAGCAAGGTGTCTGTTTCGATGCTAAAGCAATATTCTGGAGTGGCCGAGACCAAAAGTGGAATAGCTCCAGCCGATTTCAACCGCTTTACTGCTTCACCATCGGCTTCGGCCTTAATGTCCCTTCTGGCCAAACTGCCCACGGAAAAGGTCATGCCCTCGAGGGCACAAGATTCCTTAATGGTCACGGGAAGACCCAGAAGTGGACGTTCCTCGAAGAGCTTCTCCACATCCGCCAGAGACTGGCAGCTGGCTATGAGGTCATCGGTTTCGGAAGCTTCCTCCAGAGCAGCCGAAAAACGAGATTCCACTATGGCATTCAGATGTTTGTTGACGGATTCTATGCGTTCGATATAAGTGCGCACCAGTTCCACAGAAGTCAACTAAAAATTGAACAAAATAAAACCGAATCTCTCAATCAAATTCGTTTGAAGATATAATTGTAACATAACTTGGTCAAATTGGTTGGCTTATCACCTTGAACTTTGCTCTTCAGATAAGAAAATAATTACTTAAAACTTTAGTGCATAGAGTTCAAGAAAAGAAATCCATTTCGTTTTAATGCTTATAATTACATGAGTAAACCAAATTTATTTTACAGTCAAGTAGTCAAAAAAAGATAACAAGGCAATATTTTTGTAATGGTTGTTGAAAGATGACTGAGTTTAAATATATGTACATATATGCAAATCTTACTCACCTGACGAGATCGAAGGCGACTGCGCAGCTCCTGAACGCTGAGGGTAAGCAGTTTGTTCCTGATCGGTGGGATGAGTGTAGTCCTGGGTTTACGAGGATAAAAGTATGTGTCCAAAATCGGTGAGATTATCATTGCGATCGCCTTTATGACGACCACGATTAGTCGTATAAATATTTCCATTGCGCGCAAGAACTGAATAAGAAGACGTTCCCCGAGCAAATGATTTTAAATGAGAATGAACCGAACGATCGAGCTGCCGGCATTCCAAATTAGAGAGTGCTGAGAGTCGGAAGCTAACTGTAGAAAAGGGAACGATAAGCTGGAAGGGAGCGGTGAATTGGGAGAGTTTATACAAAAGTAAACATTTCGAAAGCGAGAGAGGGAGAGTGTGATTGGAGCGCGCGATCAAAAACGCACACAGGCACAGCATAACCGATTCAAAGTTAGCGCCAAAACGTTCCCCATTTAAAAAAAAAGATGTATGATAAGAATTCGATTTGTAAGTACGTTTTTCGACTGTTATCTTTATTCCAACAGAATACTCCTAGGTGGTCTCCTGGGCATCACTGAATTCCTCATCATCCGATGAAGAATCTTCGTCCGATGAAGATTCATACATTTCAACTCTTATTTCCAGATCGTCTAATGGGGAGAATAAAGGTGCAAATGCCGGAACTTCGTCTGGGTTTCCGCCCAGTGTATCCAATTCCTCAATTGTGTGGTCATTTACGTCTTCCATAACACAAACATTTGATTCCATATAAGAATTGGCGAGACTTCGACCACCACCTTGCATGTGAAAATTTACAAATCCTCTTCCATGGTAACTTGGCACCGATTCATTATCCTAAGGATAATAAAATGTAACTCTAATGTCTAAGCCAATGAACGTAATATATCACTTACACTATCTTCCTGTTGATTTGAGCTAATAAAGTTACCCATTTCAAGCAATTTTATAAAACACGGCCAATGACAAAATCGTGCTTTCTTTGAAGGCTTAATTATCGAAAAGGTCGATATCAAAGGGATCCATTTGTATTAAAGTGACCAACAGCTTTAAATATCGTTTATTGGTAACGATAACTCCAACAATTTTAATTACTTCAAACTATATTTACCCTTTAAATATTAAAGGACTTATCCACAAGCTTTATATAGTAAAGCACCTTAAAATCGGTCGTAGTTCGGAAAAGTTATTGGCTTCGGAAAGCAGAGTTTTGGGTAATTTTTCTGCAAACTCATTTTACGATATTTTGAAAAGCAACCATAAATAACAACTCAGCTTTGAATGCAGTTTTCTAAAACACTTAACCACATGCTGTTAGAGGTATATCTCTTCCAAATCGGACTCCCAAAGAAAACAAAATGTATGTAAATTCAATTTGATGACGTATATTAAACGAATTGCACTTTCATCTTTACAACTGAACTTAATCTTTGAATGAAATTTAACCTTGAACCTTAACTAAATAGAGAGAAGGAGATTCTTCACTTGGTGTCGGTGGCATGTGGCACCGGTGGCACCCATCCGTGGAAAACGGCCTCCAGTTCGGCGGCGACTTTCAGGCAGAGCTTGTCCTGGTACTGGGCTGCCACCACCTGAAGTCCGATTGGCATCCCCCTCTTGTTGGTGCCCATGGGCACGTGGGTGGCGGGCAGTCCAAGGACGTTAAAGAGCAGCAAGTTGTCGATCCCCGTCACATTCAGCAGCGAGGTGTGGAAGCAGAGGGCGCTGGTGTGGAAGGTGGGCAGGATGAGGACTCCTCGAGTGCCAAGAAGTTGCTGTTGGGAATAGAGATTGTACTCAAATGCCTTCCTTCACTATATAAAGTTTACTCACATTCAGGTGACTTTTGACCTTTTGCACATCCTGTCGATACTCTTCCATGTTTCCAGAGGCCATTAGCCCATTGAAGCGCTTCATCACTTCCAGAACCATGGCCTCCTTGGTGAAGATTGAGTGACCAATGATGCTGTTGAAGAGCTCCACCATCAACAGTCGCATCGAGGGATCTCGGTCCGCTCGCTGGGTAACGATGCTGGGCAGACCTTTGAGGTCTACCAAGGAAACCAGGGCGATCTCCAGAGAGTTGCTCAGGAATTTAAGATCCAACTAAAGACACTATTTATAGATTTGTTCTATAGCATTAAAGAGGTTGTTTCTTACCTTCTTCGCTTGAACTCCTCCTCGCTCCAAGCACTTAACAGCTTTTGTGATGGCCAGTTGAATATCAAAGTCCACTACGGGATGGGTAAGGCAGTTAAATCCCGAGTACCCAAAAGCGTAGTATACCTACACCAACAAAGTTTTTGTTATTAAATAAACTCTTTCTTTAAGATAAACTCCCACCTTCATATCCTTTAAGGTCACTGGTTCCGACATTTTCAGCTTGTGCTTGTTGTTGCCCGCCATGATTTCCAACAGCAAAGGTAAATCCCTGGCGAATCTCGTGATCGGACCGATCTGCAGCATCTTAGGGAACTTGCTGTCCGTCAGAGAATACGGAAAGTGACCTTTGACCGAGGTAAGTCCTCCAGTGGGCTTGTGGCCAAAGACGCCACAAAACAAGGCGGGCAGGCGGATGGAACCACTGATATCGGAACCCACTCCAAACGTGGTGGCTCCACAGCCATTCAGGGATCCCTCACCACCCGAAGATCCTGCGGAAGTGCGTCGCAGATCGAAAGGATTCAGGCAGCGTCCTTGAATGTTGTTGCTGGTCTCGAAACTCATGCAAAATTCTGGGTTGGCAGATACCAAAAGGGGAATGCCTCCGGCAGCTCGAACCAACTCCACCACGTCGCCATCCTGTGGAGCTTTCATGTTCTTGCGAGCCAGACTGCCAACGGCAAAAGATAATCCTGTCAAGAAATCAGAAAATTATAAATGCAGGAATGGAAAAGGCTATTAAAACGAAAGTAATTTAATGACCTAAAAAAATTGGGTGAAACTTATCTTTCTTATTATCTTTTCTATTAATTAGACTAATTTTCAAGGACTAGGACTCACCTTTGAGACCGCAGGATTCCTTAACGGTAAAGGGCACGCCCAGGATGGGATACTTGGTGTACAGGGCCACCCGATCGAACTCCGAGCTCGCCTTCGCGATCAACTGGTCCGCCAAACGGGCATCCTGCAAAGCAGCCTCAAATCGATCCTCGACGACGGCGTTCAGCGAAGGATTCACCTCCTGGATGCGGGCTATATACGCGCTGACCAGCTGCACCGAGGAGATCTGAAATCGAATGGAATCACAGATATGACTTGCAAGTGCCTCCCTTGAATGACGTAATAGCACTTGGAGACTCACCTCACCACGTCGCAATTGGGTGACCAATTCCACGACGGACTTATTGAGCAGGAGATCTCGGATTCCCGGGAAACTGGGTCGCTGGCGGCGGAGTACAAGGTCCAATATTTTGTTCACCAGCATGCCAAAGGCGTTCAGCACAAAGGCCAGCAATCGCAGGAATATCTCCATGTCGAACAGTCGGCGGGTCAGCGAAAGGTGATCTTTATTCAAATCGACGGACTTTGAGCGAACCTCAGCGGAAGTGGGTTAGCTACAGCAATCGATGTATTGAACGAGGTAATGTGAAAGGGGCTCTGCACCTGGAACACTTCCGAGCTCTTCGACTGCGGATCGGGGACTACGCGTGCCGATCGACACTCGCACTTATTTTCCCTTTGTTTTAATTTGAATTTGAATTTAATTTCAAAGCGGGGCATTCTCCAACACTCAAACAACCTGGGGTATTCAGCAACGATATCCAAATTACTCTTCTTTCCAACAAAAGTAAAATAAATACGTTCTGGGAAAAATTTAATTAAAATTCCAAAAGGAAAGTCTTCATTCTTTGGTAAGGTGTGGTTTGGAAAAGTTATTACATGAGTTCAAAAAAGAGAAACGTGTTTTATGGTTCCCAAAGTGAAATAACAAAAAAAAAACAAACTCGTACCAAATTACCCCAATTAAAAAAAAAGACATTATTCATTCATGTATTTATTTAGTAATAATTTAGTTATTGTTACACTTATCACTTACGTGCTAAAAGGAAACGTTCAACAAAGGCGAAAACTTGTTTAGCACATTACTCACTGGAAAACGACTCGAATCGAATTGAATCGGTTAACGAAACGGCCAACGAATAATGAATAACGAATAACAGAGTACTTCAACCGAGAAGAGAGTTTTAGAATGAGAGTGTTTTAGAACTCAGTTAGGCAACTTGGCAAAGGCGCTAAGGAGACGTCTATATATCCGTATAAGTATAGTTGCTGGCTTGCGCAAAAATTGACATCTATGTAGCTATATGTATGTATCTTTTTGTATGCTCTACACTCATGATTATTCACACAAAACTGTTGAACCTGTCTGGCATTTATCCATATCCATATCGATATCTATAGACAATTACGCGGGATTGTTTGCGGGGGGTTTTGTATCTTTAAAATCGTATATCTGCTGCAGGTTGGAAATCGAACCCACGCCGGCAACAGTTCGTCGAAAGAGTTGAACACAGTTTTTGTTTTTGCCATATTCTAATTTCTAATACCTACCGAAAAAACCGCCAAAGTAAATTCGTCTAAAAATGCTCTAGAACAAAATTAGGTACTTTTTGAGAGTTTTCGACGAACTGTTACCGTTTAAGCTTTAAAGGGTTCCAAGTTCTAGCTTCCTTAGAGGTTTTCTTCTTCTTTTACTGGCTATACCATTCATATGTCTGATTACCACTGATACAATCTGGTGAACAACAAAAGAGGCTTTTCTCAGGGATATGTTTGGGTGTTGTGGTTGTGGGGTTCCTAGTCTCGTGTATATATGCTTAGCCTAGTTTATGGTATATTATTCGCTATCATATCATATACTTGCTATATGCTCGGTTATCATAGATTGGTTATTAACATTAAAATATTTATTGTCTAAAACATTTCGCCCCGCTTAGTGCCACTCTAGACCTTTTCCCCGCCCAACGATTCTAACTATTGCACCCACCTTTGGCTACTTACAGATAACTCCTGTTTATCCACCGATCAAATTTTGAATTCAATGGGTGCACCACGGCTCTCCATCTCATTGCTGGTGGCCGAGATCCCAGCTTCATTCCCTTGAGCAGAGCACTTTGTTGGGTAGTAAATAGAAAACTTAAGGGCCTAAGGGGAATTCGGGTTAAGGATCTCTGGGTTTCTGGAGCAACCAGGCTCTCGGGGCTCACAAGTGCCTGGTCCTCGGGCAAAGTGCCGTGCTGAAGAGAATTCTCTCAGGGATGAGACTCAACCACCGGCAAGCAAACCACTCCGGATCCGAAGACCAGCCTAGGTCATGTGCAGATCCCCCTTGAGGATCCGCGTGAAGGTCTTCTTGAACTGCTGGTTGGCCAGGGCGTAGCAGAAGGGGTTCATGGGGCTGTTGGCGTAGCAGAGGAAGTACGAGAACATGTACAGGTGCTCGTTGATGCAGGGCGGGTGCCGGCAGAAGCCCTCCACGAGGGCCAGCACATGGTAGGGGGTCCAGCAGGCCACGAAGCACCCCAGGATGAACGAGATCGTGCGGAACGCTTTGCGGGCACGGTTCTCCGACTTGGACTTCTGGCGACCGCCCACTCCGAGGATCAGCGGCAGGGCCTTCTTGCTCTTGAAGTGCTTCCCTATCGAGTGGATGAAGGCCCGCTTGCTGGAGTTCCGGCTGGCCGCCAGACCCTTCTCCTCTTTAACGGGATCGTCCTCTTGCTGATCCCGTTTCGTGGGGCCACCTCCTCCTCCTCCGCCGCCGCCGGTGCTGCTGGTGGTGCCCGAGGTGGAGGGCAGCTTGTTGGTGTTGCTGTCCGAGGTCTCCCGCTCCTCGATCCGCTCGAGGATCGGCTGGGGCGGCGTGGCCATGCCCACGGGCGTTCCCGACTGCGGCGTCTGCGTCTTGACCTTCGGCGAGAGCGGCATCGGCGGCATGGGCGAGTACAGGATGGCGTCCTTGCTGCTCGTCTCCATGGGACTGGAGGCCCTTCGATGCGGACAGTCGGCCGTGGTCTTCCCGGGCACGTCCAGCAGGCAGATGGCCTCGATGCAGCTCTCCCGGCGAACCTTCGCGAAGTCCTCGATGCCTGTGTACGAGACGAGAAGACGTTTTTCAATGGCCACCGCCTCCTCGAAACTCTGACTCTGACTGTTACTCGGATTCGGATTTGGATTTGTATTCAGGTTGAGATTCAGGTTCAGGTTGAGACTTAGACTGAGGCTTTGGCTTTGGCTGGGACTCTGGTTTTGGCTGGGGCTTTGGTTCTGGCTCTGGTTCTGGCTTGGATTCGCATTCGCATTCGGATTTGGATTCAGATTCGGTTTCGGTGGATTGCGGCGGGCGGGCGGAGGAGGAGGCAGCCTCCCGAGGACGCTGTCGTTCGGGGAGCTCGTGGTGGCCATCATGGCGGAGCTCTCGTCCATGTAGCGCAGCTCCGAGTTGGTCATCAGGTCGTAGGTGAGGGCCAGCTCGCTGTTCCCGGAGCTGTTGCCGAAGGGGCGGTCGGAGTAGTCCTCGGAGAGCGGGGTGGGGCACTGGAAGGCGTCGGGGGGCGGCAGGATGGTCTGCACCAGGCCCTGGTGCACCTCCTCGCTGGGCACCTCGATGGGTGCGAGGTCCACCGGCGAGAGGGGGTCGCTGGTGCGGGGAGGGGCGGCAGAGAGGTCCACCAGGCGGTCATGCTCGGCTATTTGGGAGAGGGTGGAGCAGGAGGTGCGCTTGGGCCGGTCCAGCTGTGGTTGGTTCTGGTTCTGGTTCTGCTGGTGGTGCTGGTGGTGGAGCTGGTTCTGCTGGTTCTGCTGGCTGTGGTGGTGCAGGGAGCGCACCTCTTCCTTGCTCTGCGCCCGCTGCAACGGACTCTGGTTGTGGTGGTGGTGGTGCTGTTGGTGGTGGTGGTACTGGTGCATGGCCTCGATGGACTTCGAGTTGGTGGTGCTCTTCTGCAAGTTACCTTTGCCCCGCGTCGCCAGCAACGCCGCCTGTGCCCCGAAGACCAACCCAATGGAGGATCGCTTCCGCATGTTGTTCAGCTTCTGCTGGCTGATCAGCTGCTGCGCCTGGTTGACGGAGGACTCCTCGTCGGAGTCGAAGGCCGGACTGCTGGAGCGCTCGCTCTTCTCCGCATCGACGGCGGCCTCCCGCTTCTTGGCCTCCTCCTGGATCTTCGCCGCGGAGGCCCTCCGCTGCTCCGGCGTCATCTTCTCCACCTCCTCCGCGGCGGTGGCCAGGGGATTCGCCTGTCCGGAGCCACTCAGCCGCTTGATCACAGTGGTGCAGGCGCTGTCCAGGTCGGTCTGATCCCCCGCCAGCTCCACCTTGGTCTTCAGGATCTTCTCCTCGATCACCCCGATCCCAGCCGCGTGTCCCGCCATCCCGGACATGGCTCCCGCACTCAGGGCCACCATGGACTGCATCTTCCGCTGCTTCGCCTCGCTTCTCTTCTGCATGTCGTAGGCTGTCTTGTAGATTCCAGCATAGAGAACAAAGAGCACGATCAGCGTGGTCCAGTAGTATCCAATGATCAGCGCCGTGTTGAAGATCGGATCCTTGAGGAACTGCACGGCACACTGACCAGGAAGCAGGTCTCTTTTCCCAGTGAAGTGCTCCCACCCGAAGATCGAGATGAAGAAGAGCAGGGCCGGAATGATCCAGGTGATGGTCACCATGTAGATCACCCGCGTTCGCGTTCTCCAACTCCGGTACTTGGCTGCTATCTTTACGGAACAGTAGCGATCAATGGTGATCAGGAGCACCGTGTATTGGGACACCAGGCACACCGTATAGTCCACCGAGAGCCACAGATCACAGAGCATCGGACCCAGGTCCCAGTAGCCCTTCAGCACGTATATCGTGTAGAAGGGCATCGAAACGGTTCCTGAAACATTAAAATTAAAATGGGTTATCATCTTTGTAATGATTGCATATTATTTTAATGATAACACAGTCTTACAAAATTAAAAAAAAACTTTTGCAAGGGAGATGGGTGTATTTTTTTGGGTTGGGGGTAGAAATTTTGCAGTAGGAGAATTTTTCCATTTTTCCCATTTTTCGAAAAATGACTCCGACTTTCTTACAAGTATTAGCTACAATTTTTATCCGATAGAGTTTTCAATACTTCAATAATAAAATTTCTGAAGACGAAGGCTTCAACCCTTTTTCTTATGTTTTTTATAGTCTTTCGTCACCCGAACCCAAAAAAATACACCCCATGCAAAATCTTTGTAAGACAGTGTAATCCAAGGGAAGTAATTAAGAAGTAAACGCTAAAGCATCTACTCAACTATATGGTAATTATTTCCAAAATATTTAAAAAGTGCCTACCTATCAGCATATCCGTGGCTGCCAGCGAGGCGATGAAGTAGTTGCTCGGCTGCCGGATATTTCGGTCCACAATGAAGGCCAGAAGCACCAGGATGTTGCCGCCCACCGTCAGAATGATGCAGATGGCCAGGCAGATGGCGATCAGTATTGTCTGCCACAATTCGAAGGGTGGCAGCACTGGACCCAGGATCTCCGAATCGGAATTGGATGCCGACATGGTGGAACCTCCCTCCGAGGTCTGATTCCTCAGACCCAAGAGAAGGTTGGTGTTGTTCACGTCGAAGTTCCTGTACCATTGCAGCTGATCATTCACCGACCAGGAGCCGAAGTCACTGCTCTCTCCGTAGATTTTGGCGGCCTCCAGGAGACGCTTGCATTCTGCGTGGGTCAGGACTCGCTTGAACAGCACGCTGCACAGCTTATCCCGTTCCCTTCTGAGGCTCCTAAAGGATAGCAAGAAAAGTAAGGATAGGTTATGAAGATAGTTTACTTAAGGTTCTTTCCTTCAGAAAGTTAAAGGTCTTTAAATCTTTCAAGCCAAGTTTCTTGTTTTCTATAAAGCCTTGTGGCAAAGTTTTCAACAATATGACGGAATTACTTTTTGAAAGGCGCCTTTATGCAATTGAGCTTGCTTACCAGTCGGTGATCCACTTGCTCTTGATGGTGTAGATGGAGTCGCTGGAGTTGCCATTGAGGCCAGTCAACTCCTCCTCGCCCGCCGACTTGTTAAGCGACCGCATCTCTAACCGCTCCGCCCTCTTCCCGCTTCCCTCTTCCCGCTTCCCTCTTCCCGCTCCCCTCTCTCCGCTCCGCTCCACAAGCTCTGCGGTCTTTATGGTAATTTCAAGTTGTTCCTCCTTAATGTGCTGTCGTCGACGGATGTCCCGGTATGCTTACATCGCCTCCACGGAATGCCAGGACTTGTCTCCGGTCAGGTGCAGCATCTGCAACAGGCAACAAAAGCAGTTCCTACAATTGCCCAGCACTTGGAAAAAAATATATATTTAGGATGGTATAATATAACTCAATTTTAAATAAAGTGTTTCAGTGTAACTATGGTCAAATTATATTGATTATAAACAACGCTTGAAATGAAGTGTCTACCCAACTTTTTTACTATCTACAATTTGCTTATCTTATTGCCATTTTTTCAGTGCATACTTGGTGGCCGTCTTGGCTTCCGCCAAGTTTAAACTAATTTTGCAACCGTTAACTGGCAACCGGCGACTGGCGATGCAATTTGCTTGTGGCAGTTGCTTCCTGCCCGATGCTCCTGCCGCTGCCCCTCGTCCTTATTGTGTCCTGCTGAACTCTGTTATGTTGCCTCATTATGTTACGGCATGATTTGCTTATGGCTCTGCCACTTGAGCTTCGAGGAACCCTCGTTCGCCGTTCGCCGTCGCCCTTCCTAGTTTTCTATCTCCAGGCACTTTTTGCATTCACTGATTTTCTTGACCTTTTTGTACCTTCGCTTGGGGTCTTCTATTTTGACTGACATTTGGTAAGCTGAAACCTTAAATACTTTTGGCCTTTTTTGGAGATTAACAGGAATCATAATATATTTAAGTAAACTTCCCTGTGAATATCAATAAAAAGAAGAAGGTAAAAAAACTAAAAACCTTTACCAAAAGTTTGAATATTTTAAAATAAATATATTTAATCAAACTAACTCAATTTTTAAGTCTTCTAAATATGATTACCACTCTATCCCTCAAAACTTAAGAGTTTCATAATCAATTTAACAGAGTATTAATTACTATTTCACAGTATCGTCCTTTGTACACTTTCTTGGCTTTATCCTAGTCGACCAACAGAACCTCACAGTCGACTTGATGTTGTTTAAAACTAAGTGTTCGTATTCACTTCTCGCAGGACGAACTTTCTTCAGCTGAGGTCACTCGGAGGCCAGAGGCTGCTCAACTTCTTGACTGTTGCATTTGGCCCAAGGAATCCGCCAAAGTTGTCCTCGTTGTTTGTTATTTTTAGAGTGCGGCTGCTGGGAGGCAAGGTGAAAGCATAAAGCGGCAGGGCGAAATTGAGTTTGCAAGTTTTCAAATATAATTCCGAACAAATCGATAGGACAAACTTGTGGAGCGGCCTCTTTGGCAGTTGGCAGGCAAATTCCACAAGGGACAATCGAGTTATCCGCTGTTGCATCCTTGCCACGCAAGTGTTGCATCCTTGCAGCTCGGCACGTCCGCTGGCACTTTGATTGACTGGAAATTGAATTAGTTGGGACAATTTGTTTTCATTTAATTCCCAAAACATTGCCAAAGCCAAGATATCCGCCGAAGCGAGTTAGCCGTAAGAAAGGCAGTTTCCTAAATCCGTCAACACATGCGACAATCCTCCGTTGACAGCTGTCAGACTTTGTCGCCCCCGGATTTTGTCATTGGAAACCGGTGGCGAAGCCTCCAGCCAAGCCCTCACCTAAACCAAACCCAAATCAAGGAGCAGTCCCAATTTCTATGCTAATTGAGGGCTATCCTCTGAAGGGTGTTCGGGTTAAGCGCTTTGATTGCGTGAAATTCTCGCCAGAAAGTGCTTAAATCCTGAAATGGGTTAAGCCCCACAAAAGGTAGCAAAAAGGCATTACAATTAGCAGGTAGTTAAGCATGGGGATTCAAGGGTGTTATTATGTATGCCATTTAGTAGTTGAAAAGATGATTATTTTAATGGCAAATTAACGAACAACTTAATACAACGAATGGAATATAAATCCTTTTTTTGTAAAGTGGTTCACCACTCTGCAAAGTGCTATTGTTTATTCAATTACAAGTAAGTCCTTTATTGACTTTTATTCGACAAGTGTTTCGTTGTGTTCTTATATCACTATTGGTAAACAAAGCTCCAACTCGAACCTCAGTGGTTTGTCTCAACTATGTTGTAATAACCTTTTACTAACTCCCAGTGGCACAAAAGCATTCTCGCCACACAACACGTGAAGTAATAATCCCGTTTAAGGACCTTAAGCCTTTGTCTAGTTGACCACGGGGCTGTTCCTGCTCCTGCTGGCCCTGCTGCTTTTCCTGGAAGTCCCGGACTCCCAAGCTGACCGCACAACAAAAACAGAGGGCAACGGAAAGCTGTAAGATCAAAGCGTTGATCTGGCGGGATGGCGGGGTAAGGACTCTGTCACAGTTTCCTGCTCCCATGGAAACTTTAAGCTGACTGCACTCAGGGAAAAACAGAATATTTAAATCCAAGAAATAGTAAATCAATAAACTCCTTTCAAAAATAGAAGCAAGGACTCAAAAGAATCAGCAAATATATTTAAAAGTTTTTCCTTTATGTTTATATTATTTCTTATTCCTGGAATTTAATACCCTTCTGATCCGGACTTCCTTATAAAATTTCCCGCAGTGCAGCAAAGCGATGTTGCTGCAGGGCTTGTGTTGCATTCTGGCCTTTCATATCTCGCATCTCCCTGCAACGGACATAGTTTGGGCTTAAGCCCGAATCGAGGTTGCCACACGAATGACACACGCTCCGCTCCGAATGGAAAATTGGAGGGGACGCAGGAAGCACTGGGGTTTCAGCGGGGTTTATGGCCAAGCCGTTGGCTTTGTTTGCACAACTCGAAGTTGCCGGCATTCTTGGCATGCGTTCAGAAGGAGAAATATGTAAGCAATGTGTTTGCCGAATGGCTGCCAGGATTCAAAGGATACGCGGGGGCGGGGAAAAGGTTCGAGAGCGCCTTAAATCAGCAATTATGTCGCGCAACTTTCGCCGGGTGCCAGGTGCAAAAGGGAGAGCAATAAAAAAGGGATTGGGATTTTCGTCGAGACGGTGGAAACCCCCTTGTTAGATAAGATTTCGCTCGCTCCTGTTGCCATAATAACCCGCTTTTGCCTTTTGCCGTTCCCTGCTTTTTTGCCTTTTAATAAACTTATTAAATGTGTAAGCCAGCCGTTGTCCTTGCCACTGCCACCGCCCCCTTTTCCCTTTCGCCTGCCTCTCCTCTTTTATTTGGCAAATAATGAAAAGTAATTTAATCAAGCCAACAAAAGGGCTACGGAATTCATCAGGGAAGATAATGGGAGTCCCAAATTTGATTGGCACTTGAACCGGTGCCCCGTTTCTTTTTTCTTCTTTCGGTTAGCCGGCATAGGGGCTCCAATCAGGACTCTTTGGCTTGTGTTAATTGCCTGCACAAAGCCCTGCAATGTCGGTTAGCGGCTTCCAATCATGCGCTAATATCCGCCTGGCCAAAAGCTTTGAGGGCTGCATCCATAATCCCGGCGACCAAAGGTACGCCGATGCTGGTTTGGCATTCCGGAGCGTCAAAAACTGTCAACGGCCATGGCGTTCTTTTGTGCCTGAAAACCCTGGCCGCAGATTATGATTTTGACAGCATTCTTTGGCCGCCGCTCAAAGAGGTGGGGATGGGGGAAAAATGGGAAATGGCGAAAAAAGAGGCACTACGTCCAGGGAATAAAGAGCTATGTGCCGCATAATCAACTTGTGCAAGTGCGCCGGCAAGTTTTAATTACAAAACGTCCAGGGGTTCTCCACTCCACTTTCAGCCATTTCCATTTCGAGCTCTTTTCCCACTTCCACTTCTGTTTAATTCATCTGCGCTCTATATTAACATTCTTCACTTTTTTGCCACGCCCACCCGCCTTTTGTCGACTCCCTGGGAACTACTTGCCACGCGCATTTTAATCAAAGTAAAATTTTAAATAAATATTAGAGACGCACAACGTGATGAATAATTTCGGGCTGCCGCGCTGTCAATTGTCTGCCTCGCATGGGCAATTTCAATTTCAGCTACGTCAGCCCGAGAATTGTGGAGTGCACTGTGGAAAATGGGGGAGTCCTTTTATGTGCATAATATTTTTAAAATTTTAATTGAGGTCTTCCGATGCCAATAGATTACTTCATTTATACTACTTATTTTACATAGATGAAATAAAATATTTGAAGCATACAAAATAAGTTTAGGTTTAGGTTTGGTTTCGATATCGAAAAGAATATAATAATTTGTCATATATTAGTAGGTTTTTTCCAAAATCGTTTTTAAAATATTGTTAAACAACAAAGATAGTATCTACTTTGCCATGAAAAACCACAGCACCTGCAATTTTGTTTATATTTTTGCGCGTGTGTTTGTAAACCACTCGGAAGGCTGTGGTTGGGTGGTTGGATGGGTTGGGGGGTTGGGAAGCTGGGGAGGGCTGAGCTGAAACCGTGTCGAGTCGGTGGCTGCATCAGACTTGTCCTTGACACGTTTGCTGCATGCCAAATGAAGGCTGGCTCGCTTCCTTGCCGCGAGTAGTGAAAAAAACGCTTTGGAAGACAACCAAAGACCGCAAATCGTTTTCGGAGACTGTTGCGCGTTTACTTTGCTCGCTGGCGCACTCACACAGTGGCACACTTACACGTACGTCCCCATGTACATTACACATACACACAAACACACTGGTGACGGCATGCACATGCAAATTTAACGAGCGCCAATGGCAAAAATTGCGCCCCAGGCCACTTAGCGTTGTCTTTTGTGGCATGGAAAACACACACACACACACATGCGGCGGCATATATTCATACATGTCGACATCCTCGTTTATTGCTATGCAATCTGTTGTTGCCTTTATATCCGGCAGCCAGATAGCGAGGGCATAAAAAACCCCCCTGGGGCACCATAACAAAATGGTAAGCGACACTTGCCACGAGCACGCTGAAGTGCTCGGATGACGCTGCCGGCGAGCAAGAAGGTGCCACAGCGTAAAATCTGCGGCTTAGAACAGATGGATTTTCAAGATTCCGGCCGCTGATCGATTAAGCCGGGCAAACAAGCCGGATTTCCCGCTTAGCTGTTTCGAGTGAGAAGCGCTGAGAAGGGCTTAAATAAATGGTGAAAAAATCCCATGTTAAAGATCACTTAGCTGGAAGTCATGAGAAGCGCAGAGAAAGGTTCTAAATTTGAGAGCATAATGAAATA